ATTATGGAACCAACCTAGATGCCCTTCAATAGATGAATGGATACAAAAAAAAATGTGGTATATATACACAATGGAACATTTCTCAGTAATAAAAGAGAATAAAATAATGGCATTTTCAGGTGAATGGATGGCTTTGGAGAAGATAATGCTAAGTGAAGTTAGCCAATCCCAAAAATCCAAATGCTAGAATGTTTTCTCCCATATAAGGAGGCTGATTCATAGTGGGTTAGGGAGAGGGAGCATGGGAGGAATAGAGAACTCTAGATAGGGCAGAGGGGTAGGAGGGTAAGGAATTGGGTATGAGGTTAGAAATGATTGTGGAATATGATGGACATTATTATCCAAAGCACATGTATAAAAACATAAATTGGTGTGAATGTACTTCGTATACAACCACAGATATGAAAAATTGTGTTGTATATGTGGAATAAGAATTGTAATGCATTCCACTGTCATATATAAATAAAAATAATAATAAAAAGAAAAAAACAAATAGGAAGTAAAATGAAAAATCAAAATAAAATGTATATTACAACCTCAAAAAAAAAATGTGGGACTCTCAGGCAGATCTTTCTTAAGTGCTCCCCCACAGGGTAGCAATTTGTACTATCTGAAATCCCATCTCTTTTCTTCTGATATCAATTCTCTCCATTACCACTAAATTTTATTTGTTCAGATGCAAATTTTCTCACCTCACTCCTCTCCTTGCAGATTTCAATTAGCTCTCTGTTGCCTCCAGGACAAAGTCCAAATTCTTAAGCATTGCAAACAATTGCCATGTTCCTTACTGACCCCCACTCACTCAGTAGCCTCATTTTCTACAAATCTCCAGTTCTTTCTCCATATTTCAAGGGCCCAAATATTTATGATTTCTCAAATGTGTCCTGATATTCCATGTATTTCTAAAACAATTGCTAATGTTGTTTTATGTACTTTGTGTACATTAATTCATTTGAGCCCCAAGCAACTCTTTGAGTAAATATTCTTATAGTTATCCTTTGGAAATGAGGAAACTGAAGCACAGAGAAATTGAGTAACTTGCAGCAAATCATTCGGATAGTAGGTGTTGGCTAGAGCTCAGGATTCAAATATAGGCCCCTAGCCCCAGGGTTCAGGTTTTCCTTCTACTCCTGTCTGTCTGAACCAGTTGAATACATTTGAGATCTAGCTTATGTTTCAAAGTTTCCTTAAATTTCACTTCCTCAGACTGAGCTTACTAAGTCTTGTGGGCCACTATTGTCCTTTAAATATTCTTCTAATTCTGCATAGTATATAGGTTGCAATTAAACATTTACATGATCTCTTTAATTCAGACTAGATTCCAAGTCTTATTTATCTTTTTAACTCAGCCCACAGTACTGTTTTATTTAATGAATAAATTAATAAAGAGTTAAATGAACATATCTTCATTTTAGTTGATGGTGGATACTTAGACATCCGCTAAATTGTAAGTCTGTATAAGCTTTCAGAAAAACTTTATGGTATAATAACAGGTGATTTTTATTTACTTTATTTACTTTTGTTGTTGTTTTGGTTTATTTGCATACAATTTTGATTCTTCTTAGCGAAAAAAAAGCCTACTATGGATTATTTAGATTTTTAAAAAAAATTTTGGAGTTGTAAAAAATAACATTTTTATTCATATAAAATATTATCTGAAATTAAGAAAAAAGTTCTGTTTTTTTTTAAAGTTTACATGCCTTAACCAAGTTGTATAAGACACTAGAATACAAATTAAATATACCAATGTATTTAACTTTACTCTTATAACACTTGCTATGTTATGCTATAGAAGAGTTATACTTTTATCTTCTACATTAGACCATCCAGTCAGAAGTGGAGCAAAAATGCATCTGAATTTCCAGGTAATTTCTTGGTGGTCACAACCAAGAAAGGTACTAACTTTGAATTATATGCTAGCAGCTTCAACAATGGTTCTCTGTTTCATTTGCCCACAGTGGGTGATTTCAGGATAAATAGTTTCTGACTTGAAATGTACACAGCTTCATAGATCAAAGTCAACCCTTTGAACAGCCTCCAGAGACACCCTGGTAGCCAGTGCGAGCCTTAGTGCACAGACGTTAATAGGATCCATCTGCCTAAGACCCTCACGCAAGCAAGCTGCCACTACATTTTGTAGTAGCTGAATGATCTGGTGGTTTTCACAACAGCCCCCATTAGATCGCAATGCTGTAATGCTCTGAAAAACACAAAAATTATGGATGGACCAATTCTTAATCTAAAGGGAAGTGTAACATATATGTAAATTGTTCAGGAAGAGATATTATAGGATTTTTTGTTATTTTATCGATTCACAAGAATTGCAAGATTTAATATCACATAGTTGTGGTTCATATTAGATATGTGAATATACACCAAAGGACTGTTTGACTGTCTGAGAAATTTCATTTCTTTCTTGAGCAATACTTTCATTCTTTGTATGATAGGTAAATAAGATGTTCCAAGTAGCATCTGTGGCCTAACATAGGATTTCTAAATCTTCATTTCTTTCCTTCCTCTCCTTTGTGATATGTGTTTTGAGCCAATTGCCTAAAGGGAGAGTGACTATTTTCTTTCCCAAGCCAATTTTCTCTCCCTTTGGATATCATCTTTAAAAATTTTTAAAGATGATATCCAAAGGGAGGGTGGGAGAAAAACTTGTCTCTAACTCTGATAATTTGGTAAAAGTTTCTCAAAATTAGAAGTCCCACTCTAGATCTACATGTTAAATGTGAACATATCCAGCTAAGCAATGACATCATTATGTGACTTCTTAAATCTTCATAATGTTGTCCTTTTATCACGTGGGTTAATGGTATTTATTGGTTCAGCCCTTATTTCCTTCAGAATGTTCAGAGATTTCATCTAAGGAAATTTAAGATGTTTGTCTCAAGAATTTTCTGTCTTCCAGGTCCAGATTGCCTATTGCTGACTTTTCTTTTTCCTAAAGCAATTCTGTCATTATTTGGGCATCTAAGGACTGAATTCTCTTTAACAACCCTAAAAACTCTCTCAACTTCTACACCCATCTAGGACACCCAGTGTGAATGACCACCTGAGCAGGTTTGGAATTGGCTACAATAACTGCATGGCTTATATATGATATTAACATCCTGGATTCACCTTGGCAAATTCTCAGTGACTACAAAGGTATCACCATAGAGCAGGGGCAGTCTAGGGCTTCATGCCTGGGAAACAGGGTCTGATTGTTATTTTAGCTCCACATAAGTGATTGTTTTAATTTTTTTATTTGCCACTAGCACAGGGGAGGGGGCCATATTGTCAGCTGGATAGGAAACAGAGCTAATCAAGAAGCAAATACAAAGATCATGGCATATTTTTCATAGAAAAGGGAGCTGTGTAAACACAAAAACAGTTTAAAAGAAAGATAAGACTTGGTTACCCTAGGATGGCTTTTAGTTTACTTGCCAGACACACTCCACAACTGACTTAGACATGTATTCTATGTGACTTGCTGTAGATTCCTTTTCTACCATGAAACTAAGCTCTTATTTTTCAGGAATGGGCTTTGCAATATATTTTTCTCTCCCTTTGTCACTGAAAAAAGTATAGTGTCTTCCCACTCAGAGTAAAACAGTGAGGATACAGGCAGGTCTTCCCCAGAAGAGCTCTGCAGAAAGTGGACACCATCTTTCCTACACAGGAAACCGGGCCCCGGTCTTGAGAGGTGAGGTGGGAGAGGTCAGTGGGGAGGGAGATAAACCATGATTTGATTCAACATCTCCAGGGTTTTATATGAGATAAAGCTCAAAGGGAACAGTAAAATCAGAAAGAATCTAAGGCTGAGGCTTTTATTTATGAAATGTGAAGGAGACAAAATGTTCTGTTTAAAGACAAATGTCTCTGGCTGATAGTTAATCCAAATATCCAGCCCCAAATAGGGGGAAGCCACCTTCTTGGATTGTGTGCTAGTCTCCCCACCTCCTGTTCCTATCATGCTGCCAACACACTCCATTTACGGCAGCACCACTGGGATGTGAGGGGGTCGAGAGTGCAGGTGAAAAAGAACTCATTTCTCTTGGTCCCCATGTGGTTAATTAGATAAAATGTTGGCACAAAAGCCTTAACACATCTTTTTACGGCATTGGACTTGTTTTTGCATAGTTGAAAAATTTTATTCAGAGAACAGACCCTTTTACGAATGATTCATAATGGTATCTAGGTTCCCACATCTGTATCTTGAAAAAACCAGAACTGGATTTTTTGGCCATCAGGGATAAATCACCCTCAGCGAATGTCCCCAGTGGAAGCTGAAAACACTGCACTGCAGGTGTGATGCAGAGCTGAGACTTTCTCATCCAGCCCTGCCTGAAGGAGAAAGTGACAGGACTCCAGTGGGTGGGATAAATGACAGCATCCCTCAATTTCAATAATGGTCCTTGTAGCACAGGAGCCCAAGGATTTGTCTAAGAGCAGCAGCTAAGCTGCTTAATTGAGGAAAAGAATGAGAAGATGGTGGAGGTGAGAAAGTGAGGAGGATTCAGAAAATTAGTACTTGCAACAGGGCTGGCTCTCTTTTTCTCAGGGTGACCACCCTCCTCTCCATCCTGGTGATGGAAGATCTGAGCATCCTAGAGCTAAGCCCTGCCAAAAGATAAGCATTGTCGAGGAATGCAAAAGCTCAACTGTGGAGCCTGAATTTTCTCCAGAGTCCCTGCCATCACTTCCTGACCAGTTAATGGAAACAAGTCCCTTCCTGTTCCAAAACCTCAATTTTAGACCAACAGAATAGAAAAACTTTATTCAGATCATCAAATGCCATATTACTTACAAAACAATTAAAAATATTGACCATATGTAATTATAATAACAACATTCTAGGAATGTTTAGTATTGATTACTTTAATGAATTTGGCAAAAGCACTTTGAGGCTGTATCTGCTGAATCCCCCAAAGAATGCAACCACATTGCCTTTCTGTGATCTATGAGCTAAGAGACTTGGGGACATTGTGCAAAATAAAGAATAAATCTTCTCTCACCTGATTGGATCCACAGGGTATAAATAGAAAGGCACTTCCCCCAAATTGCATCTGGTCCATACTGGGCAGAGAAATTGGTTTCATTATAGGCAGATATCCTGTAATAACAATATTATAATTTAAGTACCAAAAGTTTTGAACATGAAATGTTTATGCTTTTGTAATGCTTAATGATCTTTCCTGCCTAAAGTGGAAAGGATATCAGCTTGGAAAAAAATAACAAGATGTCCAAAAAGGAATGTGTGAAATATCTTTTGCAGGTGCACAGTTCATGATGCTTCCTGTCATTCATCCAAATATTTTCTCGCTGAGAGATATTGAAGAAAAATAAATGACAGTGAGATTCATGGTCATGGTTTTCTGAGTCAGGAGAAACTTGAGTCTTTGTTACTTAAAGTCACATACTAAGAAAATAGTAGAAGAGTTTTACAAAGGTAAAACAGGTTATGCTTTATTACAGAGATTCACAAACAGATCCAAGAATCAGAGAGATAGTTACTAACAAAGTCTTATTATTTTTTGTTCAAATGACTTTAATGTTATCAAGAGTCTAACATTTCCTACAAACTATGCTTTTCTGAAGATGTCCTAAGAGCATTAGCTAAACTCTTTTTTTTT